TAGTGTGTGTGTTAGTGTGTGTGTGTTAGTGTGTGTGTTAGTGTGTGTGTGTTAGTGTGTGCTAGTGTGTGTTAGTGTGTGTGTGTTAGTGTGTGTGTTAGTGTATGTTAGTGTGTCTTAATGTGTATTAGTGTGTGTGTGTTTGTGTGTTAGTGTGTGTTGGTGTGTGTTAGTGTGTGTTAGTTTGTGTTAGTGTGTGTGAGTGTGAGTTAGTGTGTGCTAGTGTGTGTTAGTCTGTGTCAGTTTGTGTTAGTGTTTTAGTGTGTGTTAGTGTGTGTTAGTGTGTGTTAGTGTGTGTGTGTGTTAGTGTGTGTGTGTGTGTTAGTGTGTGTTAGTATGTGTTAGTGTGTTAGTGTGTGTTGATGTGTGTTAGTGTGTATGTGTTAGTGTGTGTGTGTGTGTGTGAAAGTGTCTGTGTGTGTTAGTGTGTTAGTGTGTATTAGTGTGTGTGTTAGTGTGTGTGTGTGTGTGTGTGTGTTAGTGTGTGTGTGTGCGTGTGCGTGTGCGTGTTCGTGGGCGAGTGCGTGTGCGTGTGCGTGTGCGCGTGCGTGTGCGTGTGCGTGTGGGTGTGTGCGTGTGGGTGTGTGCGTGTGGTGTGTGTGTGTGTGTGTGGGTGTGTGGTGTGTGGGTGTGTGGGTGTGTGCGTGTGGGTGTGTTAGTGTGTGGGTGTGTGGGTGTGTGTGGGTGTGTGGGTGTGTGGGTGTAGTGTGTTAGTGTGGTGCGTGTGTGTGTGTGTGTGGGGGGGGGGGGGTGTCGGTGCGTGTTTGTGTGTGTTTGTGTGTGTGCGTGCGTGCGTGCGTGCGTGCGTGCTTGCGTGCGTGCGTGCGTGTGTGTGTGTGTGTGTATGTGTGTGTGCGTGCGTGCGTGCGTGCGTGTGTGCGTGCGTGTGTGTATGTGTGTTTACTCTCCGAGTGGAAGAGATGGTACGGCTACTGCCCGCCGCACGAGGCCTCCAGGATTTTTTTTCTCACAGGTGTCCCCCCGGCTGCTCAGTTCTCTCTGAGGGCCTCCCGAGAACCCGCTGGAGGGCGCCGTGGCGGCTTCTCGAGGCCCGCTGGAATGCTGTCTGGGATCGGGGAGCCGTCTTGGCCGGGTAGACAGTACAAGCAGGGACGGCGAGAAGGCTCCTGCTCCTTTTCTCCGCCTCCTCCTCCTCCTCCGCCTCCTGCTCCTCCTCCGCCCCCTCCTGCTCCACCACTCGCACAATAACTACTCGCAAATGGCCAGGACCCGCCGCGGTTGATTTACGGTCCACTACGCAGAGGGCGACCTGCCGTTTTTTCGGACGTTTTCGGGCAGGCACTTTGCGAGTAGTGGAACGCGCTCTGTGAAGGGAAGGTATTGGGGCCACTTTGGAACTTCTCGTGGCTGTGCAGGGGCTGGCACGTGAGTCCGGGCGGTGCAGGGAAAAGCGTGGGAGGGGGGGAGTCCTGTGAAACTCCAGAAAGCGACCCCGGGCCCGAGAAGGCCCCAAGAGACCCCCGAAAAAGACGGAAGACGGCACATGGCTGTCTCAGGAGGGTGATGTCCAGGGGCTGCCGGAGGCCAGTCTGGAGCAGTCTACGCATGCTGGACCGAGATGATCACCGCTTGCCCGCGGGAGTCGGGGGGAAGGCTCCCCAGGTAGTGTCTTCGAGTGTTCCTGAAGAGGCTCGGCTTTCCTGGGGCCGTCTAGCTGGGCCTCGAAGCCGTCTTGGGGCTCTCTTGGGACGGTCTCAGCAGACCCTGGAACCACTTCGGAACCACCTCGGAACGGCAGCGATTGCGGAGTCCCTCAGCACTGATCTTCAAGACAGCTTCCCAGAATCACTGCGATGCTGGAGGATCTGGCGCGGAACCGGCAACGAGCAGCTAGATCTAGTGGACGGTAGCGCATGACCAGGCGGGTCTCTAACAACTGCCTGCTCGAATTTGCCGAGAGGAGGAGTAAGGTCCAGTAGAAAGTTATGAACACTAGAATACCCAACTCTGAAGTAGACATGACCCTGTGACTCCACCACCTGGGTGATGCAGGGTCTGGTAGAGATGGGAATGTAGCCAAGATGCACTGCTAAACAACGGTGGCACTAGTAGGTCGGCATGAGGGGGGGCAAGGGCGGGGAGAGATGTCCTGAAGAAGGTGCTGCACGGAAAGAAGGGCATGTATGATGACAACCAAATCCTCAACATGCCAAATGGGTGGAGTGGGGAAGAGTATGTCCAGCAGCGGGGAGTGCGTGACAGAAGAGGCTTGTCTAGAGTAAGCCAATGTCCACTTGTTAGTTCGGGGCTTGGTCATTTTAACATAAACTTGCTGTGGGACGAAGGGGGTATGCCCGCAACCAATGGGATGCCGTCTCAGACAGGGGCGCGTGTAGTCGAGGTTGCTGTCCAACACAAGGACCATACTCAAAGTCAGCAGGCTTACGCTTTCCCCCAATAGTGGTCGCACCAGGGGTCCGTACCTGTGTTATTATTAATCGGGGGCCACATGCGAACCCTACCCCTACCCCCCCCACGATTTGCTACGGGAAGTGAACCCCACCCTCCCCCTCAGAAATCGTGGGGGATAGGGGTAGGGTTCGCATGTGGCCCCCTAATGAAGAAGATGGATGTGTCTGAAGAGGTTTCGCCGGGTGGGGAGGAGGACCCATAATCGAATCGATACATCGGATCGGCGATCGAAATGAATCGGATCGGCGGCTACCGGCAGCCTAGTCGGGAAAGGTCGAATCGGCGGAAATTGGCAGACTAGTAATTCTTGACGCTTCGCGTATCCCCACCAGCCCATCCTACACCAGGCACTCGTGCGAAGAGCGCCGGCGCTCGGCGCTCGGCGCAGCTTGTTGCATCTTTGCCGTTCGGCGTAGTAAATCTTATTGTGTGCTTATGTATCTCACTGTCCTTCCTTCACGTCACACCACTGATGAGTCATTTGGAGAAAAATGAAAGCTTCCGATGTATTTTCGACCTTGCCGCAATCTCCTGCAACAGCAGTCGGACGCGACGCTTTTCTTAGCTTCCGTCTGGAACAATGAGAGCAATTGAGGCGTCGAGTACGGATGTGCAGGAAGAATAACAGATGTCTGTGAGAAGCATTTGATCGTTTCGGTTGCTCTTACATGCGTTTTCGCAGTATTCTGGGCTTCGCGTCCCGCGCGAGCGCTCGATTGAATTTATGTTGAAGCAGTGTTTGGGCGTCTGGGGTCCTTTTAGACGCCATCGGGGCGTTCTGGGGGGGCATCTTGGAGCAAATGTATCAAAGAAGAGCAGAGCTTTAATTAGCGCTGCCCCTCCAGACTGTCTAAAATCGCTTCCTGGACCCCTCTTGGATCGCTCTTGGAGCGCTCGTGGACGCTGTTGAGGCAGTCTTGAGGCTCTCTTGGGCCCCTGTTGGGGCCCAGTTGGGACATCTTGGTGCCATCTTGAGGCCTCGGATGGGCTTCGGAAGCGAAAAAGTGAGAACACCAAAAACATTGTTTTTCCCTAGGGTTTTGAAGCATTTCGGCCTTTTCAGGGCACTCTAATGATGCTCTTGTGGGCACTTGGAACCGTCTCGGAGCGGTTTTGGAACGTGTTGGAGCGTCTTCTGAACCATCTTCAGGCATCTTGCGCTATAATGAGCCATCTTGGAGGCGATCTTGGGCTCTCTGAGGCCCTCTTGGAGCCGTCCTGGGCCATCTTGGACGCTCTGACCGCTCCCCGCCCCTCCTGTCCAGGTCAGTGGGGAGGGGGTGGGGGGAGGGGTAAACCCCTCCCCGAAGGGGAAGAGGGAGGGGTGGAAGAGGAAACGCCCTAAACCACCGACGCCCAGAGGGCTGGTGGGATTTTGCGTCCACTAAGAGATCGGCACCCGCATCAGCATCCCAGGTCGAATCGAATCGGAGTCGGAAGACATCGCAGTCGAATCGAATCGAATCGAATCGGGAGAGTCGAAGCGAGCCCTGGGTGGGCGGCAATCAGCGCCTCGCGGGCGCCCCGTTCGCCGGCTTGGCGTGTCGCGTGCTCGCCGGGTGGGCGGCAGTGGGAGCCTCGTGGGCGCCCCGTTCGCCGGGCGTGTCGAGGCGTCACCGGCTGGGCTGCCGTGGCCGCCTCGTGGGCGCTCCGCGTTTTGCTTGCGCGGCATAGCACACACACACCAGTGCTCACGCCTCAAGATTTGCACCGCGTGTCGTGTGAAAGATAGCTTCCACCACACAGCTTAACCGGCACAGCTCCATCAGGCAGCTTGCATCCCCACTTCTGAAACATGTCGCCTGCTGTTGTCTAAACAGCATAGCTTGCACCACAGTGCTTGCAGCACGAATATGTTGTACTACAAGGCGTGCACCACTTCTCAAAAACCCAGCGTGCAAGAGCAGAGAGAAAGAAAGGGGGCACTGAGACAAACTTTCATCCGCCCTATTATGTTTCTACTGCTCGCCGCCTCCTGAAAGCTGCAACCCATGCTACATGCTTTGCTCCTTAAACGTGCACTGCGCCGACCTCCTCCTCCTCCTCATCATCATCATCACCATCATCATCACCACCATCAGCATCAGCATCAGCATCAGCATCAGCATCAGCATCAGCATCAGCATCAGCATCATCATCATCATCATCATCATCATCATCATCATCATCATCATCATCATCATCATCATCATCATCATCATCATCCTTGTCCTCTTTCCTCCCCCTCAAGTCTTGGCATGAAGAAAAACGAGCCCTGCGGGGAACCCCTGGGCTTCTCTCGGGGCCAACTTCTCACCCCGAGTGTTTTTTTCGGCGGCTCCGGGGCCCGCTGAAGGCCCCAGGATGCCGAAACCGGCGAACAGACTCAGGGCAACCCTCTGGCCTTTGGGGACCCCTCCTCTTCATTCGAGGCCTCCGAGATGGGGTCCGAGCAAATGGCGTCGCAGGATCGCGCCA